TGCTTATGTGGTGCTGAGGAATCGAACCCAGGGCCTCATGCATGCAAGGCAAGCACTCTACCACTGAGCTACCTTCACAGCCCCTGAGCAGCTTCTGTTCTCCAGTGCTGCAGCCCTGAAGAATCTCCTTGGTTCTGAGTTTAGTGTTGGGCAGATTGGAGTCAGCTAGAAGCAAGGTGTTTTGCCTCAGCAGAGATCAGCTGTCTAGTTCTTCTGGCCAGCTGGCAAGTATGTAGCAGAGAAGACATGTTGAGCAGTGTTGAGCCTGCTCACTGGGTGAAAGGTGATGTTATCACTCCTGCTCAGCCCTCCCTTGGCAGCTCTGAAGAGGCTTTGTTGTCATGGAGAAAGGGAGTGGCCTTAAGCATCTGCAAGGCTACTTCTGATATAGCCAGGTACCTTTTGGCTCCAAGAAGCTGAATCATGGTCTGCCTCAGGCTGGGACTTAACAATTTATTTCCTGCTTTATTCCCTAAATATTCCATGGTATTAGACATGGGCCCAGGTGGAGATTCTAAAATAGTGTATAGAGGAAGGGAAGGGCTTCTGGAGGGTTGTACAGGCAGCCTTTACCTACTACTGTTCTCCTGCCCTGTCCCTAGTTGGGTGAGCATCTATGATATCACTAGGGCTGTCTTCTTGCTTCCTTGAGCCTTGTTTTTCAGACTGTGAAATGGAGTCCTGGCTGTAGCTTTGTATACATACACAAAATGACAGGAAATGCATGTAAATGTTCTACACATGGGGGAAGTCAAAGAGAGACTCGTCAGTACTTGGGAGGGGAAGGTGCTCACCTGGTGATAAAGAATAGAAGGGTTATACTCCTGTTATGGGACTGGGCCCACCATGCTGGAATTTGCTATGTCCCCTCCTTCCTATGCTAGCAGTCGCTTAGCAGTAGGCTCCATATGGTAACTGAAGCAGGAGGGTGTAATCTGTACTTCTGGGCCCAGGTAGACTGACTGGGAAAGTGTGCTTCTGATCTTGGGCTTTAGCTATGACCCTCAAGCTTTGTACCACAAGCTTAAGAAGTAGATGGCAGGGTAGAAATGGATCTAATATGAGGTCATATTGCCTCAGCTGCAAACACACCTCTGATGTTCCTTTGGAACCCACTCCCCTGCCAGCAGAGCCTAGCTTGGGCCCCAGTGCTTGCTGGCAGCAGATGGGCCCATGCCAGTTCTTCTCTTAGGCAGTGCAGTATGACAACCACTACACCAACACCAAGTACTGCTTGTGCCAGATGCTGCGGGAACAGTTGGAGTCGCCCCAGGGAAGGTTGCTCCATGCCGCCCAGTCTTCCCAGGAAATTTGGTAAGAAGGGCAATGGGCTATTCATCTGTCCTTGCAGACACTTCTCAGGCTTGACCTTTAGCCCTAAGGTAACCCTTTGCGGGGAATCAGGAATAAAGTTTCTGGGTGTGGATGTGTGGGAATGGGGTGGTAGTAAGGTTTGCCACACAGAATGGAGAACTTTAAAAGCTTTCAAGCATTCAATCTTTGGTCTGGTCTCGGAAGTACAGTTTTGGGAAACATCTCTAATAGGGTGGAAGAAAACGAAGGATTAGTTGGGCATTGATGGCTCATGCCTGTAATTCTAGCTATTCAGAAAGCTGAGATTTGAGGATCAAGGTTCGAAGCCATCCTGGGCAGAAAAAATCCCAAGGTTCACTTCTAATTAGCAAAAAGTTGGAAGTGGAGTTGTGACTCAAGTGGTAGAGCATTAGCACTGAGCAAAAATACTAAGCAAGGGCTAGGAATGTAGCTTAGTGGTAGAGTGCTTGCCTGGTATACATGAAGCCCTGGGTTCAATTCCTCACTACCACATAAACAGAAAAGCTGAAAGTGGTGCCTGTGGTTCAAGTGGTACAGTGCTAGCCTTCAGCAAAAGAAGCTCAGGGAGAGTGTCTAGGCCCTGAGTTCAGTGGGAAGAGAGAGTGGAGAGAAGAGAATAGGCTTGGAGAATTCCTGAGGAAGGAGGTGGCTTCTCCATTAGTGGGCCTATCACGTATCAGGCCAACCAAATCCAATGGTCAGGAAAGGTAGAGTTGTAGAATTTTTTTCAAAATGAAGCCCCTAACCTGTCCTCATACCTATTGTGCTGCAGTCTGAGAGACTGCCCATTGGTCTATTTTTCTTGCTGGTCCTAGGGCTTGAATTCTGGGTCTAGACTCTGTCCCTGAACTTATTTTGCTCAAGGTAAATGCTCTACCACTGGAGCCATGGCACCATTTCCCACTTTTTTGAGTAGTTTTTTTTTAGAGATAAGAGTCTTGCTGGGGGGCTGGGAAGTTGGCTCAGTGGTAGAGCGCTTGCCTTGCATGCCTGAGGCCCTGGGTTCGATTCCTTAGCACCACATAAGAAAAAAGCCGGAAGTGGTGCTGTGGCTCAAGTGGTAGGGCACTAGCCTTGAGCTGAGGAGCTGAGGGACAGTGTTCAGGCCCAGAGTTCAGGCCCCATAACCGGACCAAAAA